CGGCCCGTGCGCAGGCACCACCGCCGTGGCCCCTGCCTGCGCGCTCCGTCTGGTTTCTCGCTCTGTTTCTATTGCGGTTTTGACGCCCGCTCGTCGTGAGGTGTTGGCGGGGGCCGTGTCCAAACGCCTGCCTCTGAAAGGAGCAAAAACTACGTACTGTCAACGGCAGCAAATGTTCGGCCCGAGCAGGGAAGGAAGGCGAGGTGGTAGCTTTGAGGGAAACAAATTGTTCAAATGTGTGCGCAGAGCGCTAGGATCTGAGCGGAGGAGCATCGCCAGGATGGGAACAGAGAGCATTATAAAAGTATTTACACAGCTGTGAGAAACTGCAAAGATGGAGAGAGGGGCAAAAGGCCTGAAGGAGAGGTCAGAGCTGAGAAAGGTGACCGAGGGGACACTTCTGAAGGGCTTGGTCCCTGCTCTGAGGACACTGAAGCAGAAAACAGTCAAAAAGTGAGTGTTGTTTTACACAGTGGAGAATGGGTGAATCCTAAACCAAGGTGTCCCACTGAAGGCAAGTCTTACAAGGGAATAGTTAAGGTAAGAAGTGGAGGGAAGTTAGTGCCAAGGGAGCTTATCAGAAAGAGACCAAGGATGTTGTCTGAGGCCTGTCTACTGGCTGAGGTGGCCTGAGACTACACAGCTCTAGTGTGAAGGTTGGAACGTGCAAGCTGGGAAGTGTTCAGCAATACAGAACCGCAGCCGTACTGAGCCTTCACACTGCTTTCAGTAGTGCGCAGGCTTGGCCAAACCCATGGCAAAGCGGTCATCCAGCAGCCCTGCTGGAATCGCCGTACATGTTGGTGTATCACACTGGAAAATTTGTAGCTGAGGTGAAGATGAAGATAATATCTGAAAATGATAGTGCTTATGGCATTAGGACACACGTCGTAAAGCTGTCCTAGCAGTGCATTTGCTGTCTGTGAAAATTTCTCTTAACAAAGCAGGCTTATCTCACTTTCAACAAGACAGTGAAGCAGCACGGTTTGGCACACCTTCAGCATTCCAGCAAAAATTTGGCATTTCAGTGTAGTATCAAATTAATAAGAAGTTAACAAGGCCCTAAAAGTATAAGTGGTATCCACCAGATGCTGATGAAAACAAGGATGAGCTGCTGCAACTTGGACCAGCTTAGACTAGCCACCATGTATGTCTAGAATCAAAAAAATTTTAGTATAAAAAGTAAAAAAAGGTTGATTTTTGGTATTATAATCATGGGAATAAGTAATGCTCAAAACAGTCTTTATTGTTTGGGTATCATAAGCTAACTAAAGCAATCTGAAAAGAAATACAGATACTGCCGTAGACAACATAGCCAGGGAGTATTTTCACTGTCCAGTGATTATTTTAACATTTTATCTATGTTTTAAGCCTCAGAAGAATGGAATGATATTACTATGCATTTCTATAGTGACTTATTTACAGTTGCCCCGTTCCACTTATAGCAAGTGTTTTCTTTTTAAAATGGAAAAAATCCAGAAACAGGCAATTAATAAGATTGGATGAATGGAAAGGGTGGTGTACAAGAAGGGAATGAAAATTTTAACTTTGTTTACAGCTAAGGTTAATAGGGGAAAAACAGACTTATTTAAAACAGTCGGTCAGCTGGAGAATATGTGGGGGACATTGGGATTTACTCCCATTGGCAAAGAATAATGACCTTGAATGGCAATAGAAAGTGATTCAAGGGAATACTATCCTTATCGAAGCTAAGAAATCAGCTTTCAAAGAGCTATATATCACGTGCATAATGGCAATGGAAATAAAATTTACATTTATATATATTCTAATGGTGATAGGTGTATCATTCTTCAGTGTAGCTGGCAGCCGGTGACTGCTTAGTTAGAAAAACCTTGTGGTGTGGTTGCCAGTTCATTCTCGTGGTGTGCATGAGAATAAATCACTTTGATTTATTCACTTTTTCATGATCTAAGTCACAAAATGTTGATTATGTTGAATCACCTCCTGAAATTCTTAATTACAAAAGTCATACATGTATCAGGAATACAAGTCCTTAGACCTCTTATCAGTATTTTTCTCCTCAATTCTCCCTGTTTTACTTGTATTTTCAACCCAATGGTATCTTAATTCGGTATTAAATCACATTTGGGAATACCCTTCCTTCCTTGAAATTTCCATGCGGCAGTGTTCCTGCCTGGCTGTGGCCTTTTGCAAGAGCCACTTCCAAGAGCTTCTGCTCATTTCACTTTTCTGTTTTCAATACCACACCAGAAAGGTGGGAGACCGTACAGCTATTTCTGGTATGTGACATGCATCTGTTTGGTTTTTTCTGCATCATATCTCTGGAAACTGCCATATTTAAAAGAGTAGGCCTGTAAGCACACTGAACTTCGCCTGATCTGCTTGAGTAAAACATGCTTTGAAGCATCTGGCGTTTGACATTCATGAAGGCAAATAATGGAGCTGAAACATGGTCACAATCTGTTATAGAAGTCCCTGTGCCTCTTAACAGCCAGTTAGAAGGAAATGGCCAGAAGAGTATCGTAAAGCCAAGATGAAAGATCTGCCAAGGCAAGTTGGTTGAGAGCACCGAAGAGAACATCTCCCATGCAATCTTCAGGTTTTTTGAGTTAAAGAATTTAATGCCTTTTTGGAGATCGGTTTGTTATCCTTGGAACTCACCAATCCGTATTTATGGACAAAGCAGTTGCAAAAGGCACAGGCAGAGGAGATGCGTGTTTTCTTTCCCCTGCCAGAAGTGGGGTAATGAGATGCTTTTTGCCTCATGCATTTTATATATCTTTATGAATCTTGTGTGTCCAGTATCTTTTTTCATCGGCTTTTGAAAGATAACTTCCTACAGCAGATGGATCCCATCCTATCTCATGCTTTCATGGTAGAAGATTTTTGTGCTGTCTACAACATAAGAAAGCCTGACTCTCCACCAAAAGCTTCATGTGAGTCAATATTTCTGAAGCAGTGAAATTACCATCTCACAAAATGTGGTAAAATGCTGAGAATTTTATTACAGTCGCTCACCCTTTCCACATCTTTATTCTTTAATGCCAAGTATTCTCTCTCTCCAAACGCAAAAGCAATACAGCCTTTCTGGTACCAGTGGTGCGTTTTTTGCTCTTACTCTGTGTGAGCTGTTACATCTGCGGAACATTACGATATTTGCCTGCATGGCACACGGGAAAGGAGGCTGTTCAACAGACGGATGCAAAAACAAGCCGCGTTTACTTTCAGCAATATCCCATCTGTGGGCACCTCTCTTCCCAGTAGCACAAACCCAAAAAATG